TTCTAAGCGAAATAAGCCAGTCAGAGAAAGACAAGTATCGCAGGATCTCGCTCATATGTGGAATCTAATGAACAAAATAAACTGAGAAGCTAAACACATCCAGAGACATGGAAGCATGTAACTGACTGACAGATCTCAGAGCAGGGAGGGGAGAGGGGGCGGGAAGAGATTAACTAAAGAACTTATATATGCCTGGCCCGTGGACACAGACAACAGTGTGGGGAAGGCAGGGTGGGGCAGGAGCCTGGTAGAGGAGGGTAAAGGGAGGGAGGAAAGGGGGAAGCATCTGTAAAATACTGTCAATAAATTTTAAAAAATTTCTAGACCCAATTCCAGTCAAATTAATTGAGAATTTCTGCATCTGCCCTTTGAAAATGGTCCTACGAGACTGGATGTACAAGGGAGCTGAGAATCATTTCAGTTCACCGCATCACCTCTAGGATCCCTTTCGATCCTGAGATTGCTTTATAGGCCTATTTCAAGTTGTGACTTCAAATTCTAGCCTTCTGTGCGACTTTTAGATGTTTTACATTTGATCTCATAACAAACTTTTCATCCATATCCAAGTGGTGCCATTATTAAAGGGTATAATTCTTAGGAATAGAATTGATGCCTTTTTCATTTTCTTGTATCTTTACTAATACCTATAAACGTTAACATTATATACACTAAAATAAGAATGTAGACTCAACTCCCCAAACCCCAAGCCAAACCATAGATACCAGTTCTTTCAGCACAACAAAGGGAATTCTAATCTCTAAGGAGGATACAGAAGTCAAATCCACCCCAGAGAGCTGCAGGGAACAGAAGCAGTGGGAAGAAAGATTGTAGTGATACCAGGGGAAAAATAATGATGTCCTCGTTACCTCTGGTGGGCTCAGAAAGAAAGAACCTACAGACTCCGCGTGGCACACTGTCGAGGTGCCAGAGATGAATGGGTCCTTTGGAGTCAAGCTGGAAGGAAATGAGACTCCAAGGCACCAAGAGAAGATGCTTATCATCAGCTGCACGGTGTCTGGGCATCATCACGACTTGATCACTGAGCACACTGCCTGCTGCTCTGCTGGCTCCTGGTCTATTATCCATTCACAGTACCGTGACTGGGTCCCTCCTTTGCAGAGATCAAAGGCAGCCGAATCCGAGGACAGGAACACCTATTGTGCACCATGTCTTTGTGTCCCTCATCACTCGAGAGCTCTGGCTGTGTGAAGATGCTGTTCTTTTTGTGTGTGTGCAATTTTGTCACAAATCATTTCCCTGTGACTTTCTGGAGTCTGAGGCACGGAGGACAGGGGAAGATTTTCCATACTGGAACTGGCTCTGTGGGGCAATATTATATTTACAGTGGGGACATTGACTTCTCCACAGGTTTCCTGGAACATTCTTTGTTACTTAAATTTTAGTTACTACCCAGTATCTGGGCCCATCTAAAGAGAAATGCATACACTACTGCAGACTTGTTTCTGCGATCTAATCATTCATTTATATGTTTGCCCAACAAATATTTATAAGCAATCATGTTCAAAGTTTGTCCTAGGAACTGTGAGGACACAAGATGAGTGAGAAAGCATTTCTGTTCTCAAGGAGCTTGAAATAGGAGTAAAGTAATAAATATTCATTAAGCATCCATTATGGAGTATCAGCATATTGCTTTGCAAGTATTTATATGTAAATCTTCAGGCTACTCAAGCAGTGGTATTTTTTTCCAGATTTTACTTAAGAGGAAATGGAGGCATAGAAAGATTAAGGCAACTGTTCTGGGTTGAATTGTGTTCCACCAAAATTTAAACAGTGAAATACTACCTCTTAGGGCAGGGGTGGGCAAACTTTTTGACTCGAGGGCCACAATGGGTTCTTAAACTGGACCGGAGGGCTGGAACAAAAGCATGGATGGAGTGTTTGTGTGAACTAATATAAATTCAAAGTAAACATTACATAAAGGGTACGGTCTTTTTTTTTTTTAGTTTTATTCATTTCAAACGGGCTGGATGCGGCCTGCGGGCCATAGTTTGCCCACGGCTGTCTTAGGGAGTCAGAATGTGATTATATTTGGAGACAAGGCCTTCAATGAGGTAATTAAAGTAAAAAACGAGGTCATA